CGGAGTTTGATCTGGAAGAAGGTTCTCGACGTCTCCGGCAACTGCATTCTGGGCCTGCCGAAGCAGAGGTCGGAGGACGACTGCACCCATTTCTTCTCCAACCTTCAGTACTGCTCCTATGAGAAGTCTGTGAGCTACATTCCCTGTAAGGGGAATTCGTACCTCTACGGAGATCCGGCCGAGCACCGCCGTCCGCCGGCGAGGAAGGTGACGGAGATGAGAACTTATGCCGCGCTGGTCCCCAATTAAAGCGCATTAAATGTGAATGTGGTTTCTTTTCTTTTTCTTTAATTCCGTACTGTGTGTCGGCTCTATAGTGATTGAATTTTTATATTAATTAAGAAAGCAGAAAAAAAATAATAATAAAATTTAATGTGGGTTTTTAGTTTCGGGACAAATACTTAGTCCTTGCCCTAAGCTAATTTTATTCTAATCACCATTAAATATTTGATAATTGAGATAAATGAATTTTTCTCGATAAAAGAAGAAATTAACAGAATTTTTTTTCAATAGTGGTTATTGAAATGTTTGATAATGGAGAGAAATAAATCTTTTTCATTAGAAAAGAAAATAATCAGTCAAGTTTTTTAATAGTGGTTAGGTTATTGGTTCCAATGAGGGATGAGTTAAGTATTTTCTTAATCTGTCAAATTTCGAGAAATGATTATTATTTTTTTCTTGGTTGGAATGAACAAATTTGAAATGATTAGTGAATTATTAAGTTGCTTTGCTTGAATCATGGTCATGCAAAAATAAATTTAACATGAAAATTTAATGACAGTGAGCATAGATGGGTTGTGACCGCTACACAGACAAATATATTTTTCTTTTAAAAAATAGGTTAAAAAACATATTTGATCGCTATACTTTTGTTAAAGTAACGATTTAGTTCTCAAACTTTAATTATAACGATCTTACTTTTAAATTGGTAACAATTTAGCCTATCAACTTTAATATGTAACAATTTAGTCCCTATAGTTTAAAATTTGTAACAATTTAGTCCCTACTATGAAAATATTTGCTAAAATTAAGTATCGATTTTTATATTATAACGATTTAATATTTGTAATTTATAAACACATTTGGTTCTTCATTGGTTTTTCGATCTAAACCTACAAGAAATTTAACATAATTTTTCTCGATAGGACTCTTTACAAATTTAAAACTAGTGAGATTAAATTGTTACACACCATAGTTTAAGGACCAAATTGTTACAAATTTAAAAATACATGAACTAAATGGTTACACGCTAAATTCAGGAACTAAATCTTTACTTCACTGAAAGTACATAACCAAAAGTATTTTTTAACCTATTATGGAACATATTGGATCATTTTGGTTAAAAAAATTATTTACTTGAAAATATAATTTGAGATCACATCAGATTTTAGATATTCAAATTCATGCATAATAATTGTTGATGCATAAATTTGGCCTATTGGGATTCTTCAAAATTCGCACCCATCCTCCAGAATAAAGGGATCGACGAGACCTGCAAAATATAATAGTATCAAAGACCGGTGTGGCTCTTGCCATATAGGCTCCGATGCTTAAGTTAGATATTTGGTATAAAGTGTAGAGTTTTGTGAGCCTATCATAAGGTTTGTCTTCCTTCCCTATTTATAGAAGTTGAATCCTAATCTCCGTAGGATTTACAGAAGTCGAACCCTATTATTTTTAGGAGATCTGGACTTTTGAGTCCATGTATTTCGTTGTGGACCTAATGTCGGATCAAGAGTCGAGATCAGCTAGGATTTCGAATTCGACTGCACAGGGGAATCGAATTAGGATTCTCGGCCTTTTGGCCAAGAACACCTCGACGCCGACCATGGGTCGATCTGAGTTGGCCTCGACGACTTCCCTTTTCGTCGCTTTGTCCGTTCTATATTTTTCTACCCATATAACAATAACAATAATGGAATTTATTTGAAATCTATATATCACTAATAGTTATTGGAACGTAAACCACCATAATTATATGTAATATAATGGCTGTTAATTATTTAAATCTTATTCGTTTTTACCTGTCTTAAGTTTGATTATAGTACATCTTATTTTTCAAGTATTTTACCCTCTGTTCGGTTATCTTGAAAGTTCAAGAAGAGAACGAAAAATAATTAAAATTTTTCTTTTTGTCTTATTTGAGTTAAGAATGATTTGAAATACATGTAATTAAATTTTTTTATTTGAATGTTGATCGAAAAGAAAAAGAAAATAAGAAATTTTACTGATATAGGATTTTAATCTTAGCTTTAATTTATTAATTGAGAATTAAAATATGATATGTTGAAATAAATAATTTACATTGTACGAACTCCTATAAAATTTAATGGTTTTGGTTAGGATATTTTTTAACTTGACCACATGATTTGAGATCATATAAGATTTTAAATCACTTTTTTCATATGATAATATGACAATGTACAAAATTACTTAGAAATCCATAAATTCTAAGCAACCAAACCCACCATTAAAACATGTTTAGCATCTAATCCAAGAATGTGTTAGCTATATGAAAATGTCCCATGAGTTGCAATTAAAAACTTATTCATTTAAAAGAATTCCCACCAAATAGTGATTTAATAAGATAAAAAAAAAGTCCTAAACTAATATTTACAGTTCTGTTAAAGATGGTATGATGTTGTCCGATTTTGCTTTTGGTTTCACTTGAAATGTCTCATACCAATGAGATAATTGTCCTCGTTTATATACCATGGATCATGTTCTCCCCTAGTCAATGTAGGAACAATTATCTCCATTGGCCAAATCAACTTCTAATCTCAAATCAATTACTATCAAAATAAAATCAATTCATGTTTGCAAATTCTTACTAATTTAATACAAATGAAAGTAGTGTTTTTTTCTTAAAAAACAATGTCATAGAGATACCAAATATAATGAATATGGGAGTTGTAAGCAAAAGAAGGTGGTTAGATTGGGCTGAAATAAATACACGTACTGCTCTGAATATTATCACTAAAAATGTCTCTGTCAAAAATTGAATATGGAAACCATGCCATGTTATTTAAACCATGATGTGGGCCCCCACAAATTATGAGAATTCTTTTTTCTTTTTAACTTTTTTTTTATCTTTTTGAAAAAATTCTTCTCTTTAATTTTGAAATTGAAGGTCAAACATGATGGACTAAATTGGCCTTTTATTTGCAAACCCCGTAGAATTGAGTGGTAAATTATTTTGTTGGTCGGTAGTTCAAATCTTCATTCCTCTCCATATGTCGTACTAAAAAAAATATTTTACTTTATCACATTTTACTGTAATATAAGTATGTAGAGAAATATTGTTCTACATTTAGATGACATGATATTAGTAAATAAATTTATATGATGAGTTAGGTCACCCAAGAAAAAATAATAAAAATTTGTGCCAACTTTTTAAGAATTTGAAAGAGGAAATTTAAGGTTGGTTCACTAACGTGATATTTCTTGTTTCTTGTTTTTATTTTTGTTTTTTTGAGAAATATAAGTTTTTGAGGATACTTACTTTATTTTTAACAACGTTTTTTAGATGATACAAAAATGTTAAGTTCTGTTTATGCAAGGATATGCACAACAGTGTATATCAGATTGCAGCTCGAACTCGGCCTCCGGACCGATCTGAATACTTGGGCGGACCTGCACAAAAAGGTGACCACTTCGACGATCAAGTCAGTATAGGTCGGATTCCCAATTTAGTTCGAGGTCAGAAATCATCGTACCTGATCGTGGA